GCAGAACACACAATTATACAATTATTAGACAGATGTAGTATCCGTCTCTATCTTTGCAGTAATATAGTGAGTTCAGTGGCAGTGCCTACAGTAAGTGAAGCTCACCCTCCCACAGAGCCAAGCAGCAGGGCACTGAAACACTGTAATTATGGGTGAGGCACAAAGCGTTCACCCACTGCTAGAGCGTCAGCTAAATACAAACAAGCCTGTAAGAAATTACATGGGAAGAGCAAACAGTACAAAGCGACAGGCGAACAAAAACACAAAGTGTTGACCTTTCAAGTGAAACAAAGGGAAAAACGACTCCAAAAGAGATGTTGCAAAGGCAATGGCAGCAATGCCAGTGCTTTCGAGGTTCAAAATGAAGAAAAAAATGCATTTACATTTTTGTTATTAATTATTAATTTATCATTTATATAAATCGTATTAAATCTGGTCAACACCGTCAGTCCTAATCTACTTAATCTATAAAATCTATAAAAAATTATGTATACATTTTTTTATCAAATAAATGTTTGCAGTAGGCTATATAAAAATATCACTAGTATATATAAGTAGTTGTTATAACTTTCTTATATACAAAATCTAAAAATATTTTATACTCGTTCAACAGAAAACATAATTTTCATTTCAACAGACACATAATATACGAGTGTACAACAGTATCCACAATTCATTCTGCTGGCTAACGTTCAAACCAACGAGGTTTAAAATGCATTCTTCTCATATCGGTCTCTGACAGCAGCACCGTGGATTGCGCTGGCACGCTCTCAGTGACCCGAGACACTCTCCATACCTGTCAGCTTCTGATCTAGGTGCTGTGGATGAAGCCAGCCAATGGCACGATTTAAATCATAATAGCAAAATACTGTAAACACGCTACAGCAGTTATCTAGTCAGTTATTATTCAGAATATGAATTTACACTCAATCCTTTGGCCAGTAGAGCATGTGAAGTGCTCGAGACAGACGTGGCTGCCAGAATCCGACAGCCCACAGACGATTAGCTCCACGTACGCACCACTCTGCAATATCAGCCTGTCTTCTCTGGGTTTGATCAGTGTTGCTTGACTTTTTCTTCTACTAAACTCAGCCTATGTTGTGGTTATTTCATTTTCAATGTTAAATATTCTCTCTCCCAAGAGGATACAGTAGCTAGCGCATTGCCGTTTTATTTCTCTATGATTCTGTCAAATATAAAAGAAATAAAAATCCAATATAAAAACTTTTTGAGACATTTGTCAGAGATGTAAAATCCATGTAATTAATTACTGACCATGCTGATTGGCTGATGGCACCACAAGAATGCACAACAGTTCCAAAACCTCCAGCGACAATCCTGAGCTGAAAAGAGAGAGAAAACGAAAAAGGAGAGTTTCCAAAAGAATTGGGTACTGGTGATATATCTACTATATATCTACTATAATATAAAGAAATAATATATGGTATATGGCAAATAAATGGTAGGCTATATATTTTGTCAGAATACACTGTGAACCTGTGAATAAATGGAGAACTGTGTTTTTGTTTTTTGCCCTAGCTGGATCAAAAGCCCCTTTAGTTGAACCAATAGTGAATTTGGGGGCAGGACTATCTGATGTTCGACGAATAGTAGATGGGGGCAGTGTTTTGGAAACTTGTTTGGGTTTCATCCGAACTCACTATAATTCTAAGTAGGTATACTTATTTTGAAAAAGTAATCTGTGACTGTTAAAAATGTATGTTCTATATAGTATGAATGTGTGTAGTATGAATGTAATCTGGACATACTACAGGTGCCTTGTTTTCATTGTCATGTGACCTGTTTGCATTGCTTCACTGCTACTTTTCAGCTAACAGCTAATGTTCTTGCAAGGTTATATCAAAGTTATGAATAAACGTTCTTCCAGTAACATTAATAGACTGTTCGTTCATCTGGCCTTAAATAATGTTTTAGCACAAATATATTTAGCACAAATATATTAATATAATAAAAATATTTAGGTTACTGTAGCACAGAAATTTTTAGCACAAATGTATTTCTACATTGTTCATGGAAGGTTTATTCTGATACTTTTTAGTTGAACTTTCGGTGGGGGAAAAATGTAATGTTACTATTCAGAGCACAATCAAAAGTAATGTTCCCATAATGTTTGCAAAATGCTAAAATGGAATGTCCTGTAACATTTGCATAACCAGGAATAAAACTTTTTAAAAACCTAAAAAACTGGATTAACATTTTCATGACTTAATAGGAACGTTAGCAAAATATTCTTACAACATAGAGTATATTTGTTACCTGGTCACAACTCCTCTTCCGTAGAAAAGTAGGGTATTTGGATGCAACCTTGGTGACAGTACTGGCATAAATATTGCACGCTTCACCTTTTAAAGGGATAGTTTGGCTAAAAATGATCATTTACTCACCCTCATGTCATTCCAAACCTGTTTGAAATCTGACGAATGAATGGTAAGAATGCTGGTAATCACAGTTTTTGGTGACCATTAAAGGGATAGTTTACCCAAAAATAAGAATTGTCATTAATTACTCATGTAATACCCTCATGTCATTCCAAACCCATAAGACCTCTATTTACCTTTGGAACACAAAATAATTATTTTTTATGAAATCCGAGAGCTTTCTGACCCTGCATAGACAGCAACGTAACTACCACATTCAAGACCCAGAAAGGTAGTAAGGACATCATTAAAATAGTCCATGTGACATCAGTAGTTCAGTGCACTGCACCTTGTTTCCAAGTAGAGGAATGTACACGTATGCATCATGGAAGTCTCATAAAAAGACTATGACAAAGACTGACACGGAAGAGAAGAAATTGTTAAATAAAGTTGTTGTTTTTGTTTTCTTTGCGCACAAAAAGTATTCTCTTAGATTCATAACATTACAGTTGAACCATGTCACATGGACTATTTTAACAATGTCCTTACTACCTTTCTGGGCCTTGAACATGATAGTTGCGTTGCGGTCTATGCAGGGTCAGAAAGCTCTCAGATTTCATCAAAAATATCTTAATTTGTGTTCCCAAGATGAATGAAGGTTTTACGGGTTTGGAACGACATGAGGGAAATTAATGACAGAATTTTCATTTTTGGGTGAACTATCGCCTTAACCTCGAATTAATAGACAACAGAAAACATCGAGACATTTCTCAAAATATTTTCTTTTATGTTCCACAGATGAAAAAGTCTCACCGTTTTGAAACGACATGAGGGTAAGTAGCTAAATAATAGAATTTTATTTCTGGATGAACTATCCCTTTAAGTTATTGCTAGCAAACAAGGTTCACATTACCTTATATGACACGAGCTGTTCAGCATGTGGCTGTAACCCCTGAAGTGGGGCGTGGGCCTGCAGAAACATCTGTGTCCAACAAGCCCCAGATGTGTCCGTTGAGAGAAAGGTCCAACTGTTTGTTAGAAGGGTGGATGCGTTTCATCCATGGGTGGCGTGTGGGTGCGAGTGTTATCTGGTTTAGCCAACCACAAACGGTTCAAGGGGTTGTGAATCAGGCATGTGTGTGTGCCTATGCATCTGAATAAAGATGAAATAAAACAGAATGTGTCTGAATATGGGGGGTGGGAGTGCACGGAAAGGGGAGACAGCAGAAAGACAGAGAAATACATAGATTAAAAGAGAGAGAAATGAGAGAGGGAGATAAACAGAGGGTGTGGGGGAGACAGCAGTCTGTGGTGAGGTAGATCATGTGGAGTCAGCGGTGCGGAGCCTCAGTTTGGAAACCAGAGAAGCCCACCGCCCCTCCACTTCAGATTTATCATACTTTCACTCGGCAGACACCCTGTCCCTGACTGCACAATTACGGAGAGATGCAGATCACTGACCTCTCATCACGTCAAGATCTAAAGGGGGTTTGGTAATCAAATCCACAGGGAGGTGTGACAGGACAGACGTCAGTGGATTTCTAAATTTATACACAGGATAGCACTAATTTTCTTTGGGAACTCCTAATTTCCATTGTGTATTCACAGTTTTTTATCTGGACAAATGTATTGCATCGTTGCATTGTACTACAAGTGTAAGTGTTTTAGTCAGTTAAAACATACAATCATATATCACGGGTGTATATAAAGTTCTTACCATCTTCACTTTCATTGAAAAAAGTTTAAAAATGACTTAAACGAAAGATCAATAAACTTTCAAACGGTGCCAAGACTAGCCTATACTGCCATATTTATATGCGTATCTATACTGCCACCTTCAGGCCACAATGATAAAACGCACAATGTAAAATAATTTCTAGACATCTACCGCATAAAATGTTAAATTAGACTCACAAAGAGCTATTTATTGAATGTATATTTATTCATTTAGCAGACGCTATATTAGCAATAGAATTAGGAGCTGATTATTATCATTAATAATAACAATAATAATTTCTAGAACCTGATCATTTCCAAGTCTGGAAAGCACAATTTAAATGTTTCACACACATCAGTAGGTTTTACATGCTGTAAAGTTAACAGACATGAATCCTTTATATTATTACATTTGATAATAGAAACTTTATGTATTCATATACAAAACATCACAACTGCACACAAGTTACCAAACTTAGTTGGGTTTAAGCATGTTTGTATGAATGAAAGAGGTGAACTGGGTTATTTCCCTCAGTGGTTCAGTATGCATTCCTGTTGGGAATGTGTATGTTTGTGTGTGTAGGAGCACAAGTACAGGCAGATAAGTACAAATATCAACTGACTGTGCCCAGTCCTCCAAAATCCCTTTTTTCACAGCTAAGCCTCCAAACAAAGTAAACTGATCTACACCAGTGTATAATTTATGTATCTTAACTTGTTTCAGATGACAGACAGTCAATGGCAGGTCAGAGCTTATTGGCTAAATTGCTCATGACTCAGATCTGTGCAAATATGAGACTAATGAAAACCTGCCACACTTAGAATAGCATAGACAACTTTAAAACACAATAAAGATGCATCCTAAATCTTATGCTTTATAAAATACAATTTTATATACTTTATAAATCTACAGTAAATGTTGGTTCAAACAAAACAAGAATGTATTGCACATCAGCCCAAACTTTACACTTGTGAGGCAGCAATGTACTGATATCCCTCAAACATTCAATCTCTAAGTATTAAACTTCTGCACTTAATTCAGTACATACAATAAATTAATTCAGTTCTAATTCTAAATCTATTCAAACTAACTCTATTCTGGTCTCTTTAACTCTATTCAAACCACGATCAATGATCGATTTCAATATTTAAACCCTTAAGTTCTTTAAAGGTGAAGATATAATTGTTATATTTGCATACTTAATTGGATTGGTCATCTTTCTTACAACCATTTGCATACTGAATTGTGATTGGTCTTGTCATTACCCTTCACATTAACTACATTCTTGTTTGTGGACGAAACAGATTCAAAGCCTAACCTAAACTCACCTTAGACTGTTACTGTTTTGTTGCTGCCTTGCAAGTGACTGGTATTTCCTTAAGGAAATATAAATTTAGTTTTTGCTGAAATTATTATTATTATTATTTTTAAAAATACTCCCTCTTTCAAAAAAATTTCCCTTTAGAAATATAAAGTTCTGTTCCCTTCCAAAACCACCATAAGCATATACTGCATTTCAGCAAAAATGCATATTTCATGGCAGCGACTCAAAATACTAAAAATACACATAGGCTTGAACAGATTACCCACATGTGTTGGTATGAGGTAATGTAAAGAACCACACAGGGGAACCATGAGGTATCCAAACTCCCGTTGATTTTAAGCTTCAGGTGGGTCATGGTGAGGCTTCAGTCCCATCTTCTGATAAGAGTGCTTGAGTGTCATTAGAATCCAATGAATGGAAACACCTAAGGATGCTGGAGTGGGACACAAAGTCAGAATGAATCAGCATTCTTAGCCAACACCCAAGTACAACAAATACAAGCAGATGCAAAAAGCGAAAGAGGAAATGTAAGACTTAGCTGGCATTTATGAATGAGGAACTACAGCCTATTAATCAAAACAGACCACAGAATCACGTCAGTTAAAAGTTAGGAATAACCCGTTTCTAAGACCTACGGGTTGCTGCTTTAAAAACACTAATAATTTAATAACACTGTTTAATGTAATCTTTTTTAAATCTCAAAATAAATATCTGTTTATCCTTTTGTACAATATAAGATGAAATTCACTTGTAGCATTTAAAACTGATTAAATGTAGATTTTGGTTTTTCATTAATTTTATTTCTATTTATGAAACCTCTCTAAAACACATTAATTTTATATAATAATAATAATAACAATACAATAATACATTTTATTTATAATGTGCTTTTCTCATACCCAAAGTGCTATATAGTTAGCAAAGTGGTGTTAAATGCACGGTTTGGACATTTCAGCATTATAAAGATCAATAACAGGTTATGTTTCAGTGCAGCTCTTACCCTAATAGACTTATGGGAATGATACAGAGTCCAGCACCCAACAGAAAGATAAAGCCAGGACACCATGCCACGGTGGCCGCATAGATTCTGCTAAAAACCACAGAGGACCCGTTAGTGCTCAGGTTTTCCGTAAAGGCCACACAGGCAAAGAGTGCTCCTGAGAAAACATGAAGGGTAAACAAAGAAAAGTCTGATATGATTGTCTCTTCAAAAGGAGGAGGAATGCATACATACAGGGTTAAAGTGCAAACTAAAAAATAAAAAGCAATCACATAAGGATCCTTAAATGTAACACCACAAAACACGTTTTCCGTAAAGGCCACACAGGCAAAGAGTGCTCCTGAGAAAACATGAAGGGTAAACAAAGAAAAGTCTGATATGATTGTCTCTTCAAAAGGAGGAGGAATGCATACATACAGGGTTAAAGTGCAAACTAAAAAATAAAAAGCAATCACATAAGGATCCTTAAATGTAACACCACTTCGAAAAAAAAAAAAACACACAAAAACACATTCTTTGAGCTGAGAAGAGCCGGCATCTTGCTGAATAAGGACTTTTGCTTTGGAACGGTGATTTTCAGAGTCACTCACCCTGCTCAGACTTTGAGACGACCTTTGACATCATCGAACGCAGGACAGGGAACGGCATGATGGCAAACATAGCAGGAATCCTTACTGTAAGTAAACACATCAATACTCACATTAACTAAACAAACAAGACATCCAGAATTACATAAATTTTCACCTGTTTTACATGGCTACAAATTTAAAACTCACACACTTCCATGTTGGACTAATTTATGTAGCTAACTTACAAAGAAAAAAAAAAGTTCCAACCTAAAACATACAGATTGCTGATAATATCTGATAATTAAATTCATTTACACTTCAGTACAGTTGCCAGTGCAACTGTGTTCAGTTATCAAAGAAGTTAATTAAGCAAACTTTATCATTGTATTACTGTACACATAATAAGTGTGATAAGATATGTGAGATTGATGTACCCAGGAACAGCTGCTGTTAGCTCTTAATTCATTTTATAAATCTTCAACATACAATAACATATGCAGTGTTCCATATATACCACTTTGAACAGATGTTAAGAGCAAAATTGAGCTGTGAGAAGACACACATATACTATTTATTTGACGTATTATAAAAATTGTAATTCTGTGATTTATTCGTTTTTGAAGGTTTATCCATTCTCTCTTTTCCTTAATTGTTGGAGCTAATCACTAACAACTTACTTTAAACAAAAAAACAAAATTACACTAATATTAAACTTATGGTCAATACAACAAATTGTTTCATGTTATAGCTGATAAATAAAAAGAATATTATCATTTTAAGTATAAACTTTTTTAAGCTACAAGTGAATTTAGGCATAACATTATAATGTAGAAAATGAAAAATGTACATTCATTTTGCAATTTGATAAAAAATATATAATATGACAAAAAAGACAGTGTAACTACATTTGTGTTCTAAATGTATGTGTGTGTGTGTGTGTGTGTGTGTACTACTGTGTGTAAGAATTTGGTAAGACACAAATATAAACAAACTTTCTAACCCTTGTAATTTTTTCTGTCATGTATGACTATTATATATCTAAAGTAATACCTAACATGGTAAATGCTGTATCCTAATAATAATATATAATATACGAAAATGGTTTTCTAAAATGAATTTTGGACTGTGTATGTTCATGCTCACCGAGAAACATAATGAGCGTGGTCTTTGCGAAGGCCGTCATGAACATGCTTATAGCGACTGACAGCATCCCGATGAAGGCGATGGCAGTGTTAGACAGACAGAGGGAGAACAAATACACACCGACAAAACTAGTGATAAAGATGGAGGTGCTGGCCGCGGCGCCATAGCCGAGGAGGAACTCGCTCCAGCACAGCGGCTCATTGAGTTCGTAAAGTGTGATCATGGACAGACCCCCCGTATTGACAAAAGATAAGGAGGAGAAAGTGACAATCAACAGCACAAGAATCCATTTTCTTTGACTACTGCCTCCTGCAAACAAGTTGTAGATACCACATACAAGTTTCTGCATGGCCTGACAACAAGCCACAGTCTCTGACTGGTCAATCACCCTGGTTTCTTCCAGAATGAAGATGGCATATAGCAAGTTAACCGCCTGAAATATGGCAGACGTGAAGAAAGGCCAGTTGAACCCGACCGCATGCAGGAAGTAGCCAGTGGAGATTGACGCCACACCGGCCAACAAGCCAATCATCATGTCCACCACAGCCATGCGAAGAGTTTTCTGCTTGCTGTCCTCGCACAAATCGGCCACATAGGAGAAGCAGCCGCCTAGCATGGTGCCGATACCCCCAAAGAGGGCACTTACGAAGCTGGCGGCAATGAGGAGGTAGAGGTTGAGCTCGAAGAAGGAGACCGCCAGGAATGAAAGCGTGTAGACCAGAGACCCAATGAGGGGCAAAATAATAGTGATCTTTCGGCCGCGCTGATCGCTGTAGGCCACCAGGAGGAGGGTCACTATGAGACTGGGGATCATGGAAGACAAATCACTGTACATGGAGAACAGAGAAGCTGCTTTCTGCACCTCCTGAAAAATAGAGCAAAATAAATGAAACACATGTGCATACAAAACTGTGGCTGCATATGTATCTTATGACGTCTGTTGCAATTCCTGGTCCAAATAAGAAAAGCTATAAAAAGAAAAAAAAGATAGAGGAAATGAAACACAGATGTGTTTCCTTAAGTATCAATGACCAAAACTATACTAATACAGACTGCCCTCTAAAGCAACAACAGGTGTAACTCACACTATATTTATAGGATATAAAACAAACCCTGAAAGGGGTGATCAATACTTTTTACTTTTCTGATAAATATATACTGCTGAGCTCAGCTATGGACCAATCACAATGAAGTATCCCAGAGAATTAAATGTACAGATTTACAATAGCTACTTATAAAAGTTAATTGTTGTCACTCAATAACAATTGATGACAACAATAACAATAGGATACCATCAAATCGTATTTATATATAAAAAACACAGCACAAGCATATCAAGCTAAACATTTCACAAAAGGTCACATTATGGAGCCTTCATAATTTGCCGGTCATATCAGTATATTTAATTCATACAGTGCAGTTTTATTTTACATTTGATTATTAAATTACTGTAGTATTTTGTAGCCTGATTGGCTCTGGTTTTTCATTTGCATCTTTATCCTATTGTTTGTAATTAGCTTCTTTGTTTTAATTTTTAAAAACAAAAATAGAAAAACATAATTCCTTATTTAAAAGTTATGTGACAGAATGTGGCAAGACACAAAAATAAACCAGTTTCTGCATTTTTTTATGCATGACTATTGTACATTTAATGTCATTGTAAATGTGTATACATGGTAAATCTTAACAATTTAAAAAAAAATCATTTTTCAAACAATGTTCTGCAAAATACTGGAAATTACCCCACTAAAAAGATTTTGATTATTCAAAAAAATTTAAAATATATTTTTTTAAAAACTGTTTCCAGATACTACTAGAAAAAAATTAAGCTGACTGACAAAACAAGCCCACAATATAAGCCCTTATATATATATATAAACACTTAAAAAGTGGACACGACAACACTAATGCGGTTAATGCGATGAGCCTGTGGTTACTCTACTAGACACCTGTGTGAACTTGAGGGGAACTGATGCACACGACCGCTAAAAATATATTGGGACTAGCTGGTAAAAAATAACTGTTAAAAAATGAAGTTAGCTATTAGAAAAGCGCAACACTTGTTGTAAATGTTTTTGCTATATAATGCAAAGGAGTTCGTTTGTAAGCATTTATAAGCAAATATGTACGTGATGTAAAAGTGTTTGCGTCATCATGTGACATATGTAGGCATTACTCACATCTCGCTGTCTGCTGTGGCTGGTGCTGTTGGCGGCGCAATGGGAAGTGTTGTCGGACACGGGGTAAGAAGAGTTTGTGATCTCCAGCCACAATCTGCGATACACGTACTGCTGCACGAGGGGATAAACCATAAAACTGGCAAACGCGTAAATCGCGACGATCGGCTCGATGAAGTACAGTCTCTTCATTGTGTCGAGGATGTGTCTGCAAAAGCCAAGAGAAAAACAGACAACTGCGTAAGTCTGCATGATCAGACTAAGTGTAGACCTACATAATTCAACACGAAACATCAAATTTCAAGACGAAAGTTGAATCATGAGAGCTCAAATAATACTGTCACACTACTGACCACCTTGGACAGCTACCAGTCTGCTTACAGCTCACTTGTACAAACAATGCAAACAGATTGTAGACTTACTTCTTCATTCAAAAGAATACATCAGAAATTCCTCTCTACTGCTGAGACTCTTCTGTAATCAATGTGACAGTTAAACAGTCTTCTCTGTTTTGTTTATGAAACATGACTGATCGCAACCCCTTATGAAACGCCGGTTTCTTGCCCTTGAGAAGCTGATTGGTCAGTTGAATTTAAGGAATACAAGTCATTGGTTGGTGAGGCTGCCAATCACCTCGAATGGGCGGGTTGAGTTGTGAAATTGCTATGGGCATCGCAATGGGCGGGAGGGGTGAAACCATAGATATGTACATATGTGCATATCCATAACCATAGATATATACATGTAAATTTTTACAAATGTACATATCTATGGGTGAAACAGTCCTTTCGTTGCATTTTTACGGGTTTTGTTTTGCACCCTTTTGATGTATTATTTGCTTTGTCCTCATTTGTAATTCGCTTTGGATAAAGGCGTCTGCTAAATGACTAAATGTATTATAATTAATATATCGAAATGTGCAAAACCATTAAAACAATTGCGTGTGGATTTAAAAATTTAATTTAATTTAATATTTTTCAGAATGTTTTGTAGCTATTTTACTTCAATTACATTTATTTATTTATTTATTTACTGGTCAATTGTAGGATATTGACGTTTTCACAGATTTGCATATTTGTTGAGTTATAATTGAAGTCTTAGGATATTGATTGTGTTCTGGTCCAGATAATAAAACAAAATTATTTACATTATATAATTACGTTTTTCTTATCATAGTTGTTTTTGTGGTTGAGAACCACTGCATTACAGTATTAGTATTAGCATTAGTATGTATTAGTATTAGTATAACTAATATTAATACTAATACTACTTTTTAATACTAATACTGTATTAGTATTAGTATTCCCTTTTTCTAAATGTTACGGTAATATTGAGTAGGCGTACGAAATGGGAGGGATCTATGACCGAACTGAAAAAAAAATGGACATGGAAAAATAAATCCATAACTATTGCTTTAATTAATTTTGGTCTGAAGAGGGCGCCTCACGGCCCATAATGGCCGAATTCAAATTAAAGTCACTGTCTACATTTTATTCAACAATTGCATACATACCATGGGTTGCAATTAAATAAAAGCCAATGGTTAATACATAGCCAACTAAAACACAGTGCTAATATATACAATCAGAAATAGAGATGACAAATAAACGTTATATGAATGATCACTTACATGCAACAGCCCACCGATCAAAATATGGATAAATAAAAACAGGCATCTTATAAAAACACTATCAAGTCAGCATGCGTTTAGCTTTTTTTAAGGAGGTGCATAAAAAGTAATCTAGATCCTATAATATCTCTTTGAAATTTAGAAAAAGGGCGTTACTTTTTAATACCTTACATTTACGGATAGAATATAAAAAAATAGAAAACAACAACAACAAAAAATAATAAGTTGCATAGAAGCATAAATGTTCATATTGCTTCTCGACAAACCCAAACAAAGCATTTAAAAACTCGTCTTTATATATGAAATCTACAATGATCTGACAGACGTCTTGCCAGAGTTTTGTGTCATTTTGTCGTATTTAATTAACACAAAAAATGTACTTGATAGGACACGATGTCCGTCAGTACTTCGATTTCCTACATCACATGACACAAATCTGGCCAATCAGTGCACACCTTAAGGTCCCGGAAGCGGTCAGGGGCATAACAACAGATAGCACTTGTCCTTTCTAGGTTTCGGTTGTATTTCTGTGCTTGAACTACCTGCCCCGCTAATCATTTTGTTTCTAGCCTTATACGATCTCCAACCCGGGGAAGACAGACACAAATCTGACAGGTACACATGACCATTTCTTTACCAAGCATCGTCATAAATGAATAATGAATACTGAGGCATTACATTTGTACGTTTAACGTATAAACGCACATATTGCGGCGCTGTTATCACTTAAATGTCTGTTTATATGGTTCAGGAAGATGGAGAGCTAGCCGGCTAACATTAGCCGTTAGTGCTGGTCGTGATAAAGGCTTTTAGCGCTGTCAGTCTGTCTTCGCTGTTGATTTTGACAGATAAATGGCTGGCGGGGCCTGGTCGTCTTCATTCTTGTTATCATATGGATGATTGTTAATCTCATGTGCACTAACCTTCAGCCTCACGCTGAGACAGTGGCCCAAGGTTAGACAGCCTGTGGGTGCATGAATTGTAAACATTCTCATATATTTGGGTTGCAGATCTGATCGTATGTGGTGTGGCATTGTGATGAGCACCTGTCATCCTCTGTTTCTGCACGGTTTATCTCATTTGAGTCGGACATTTTAACTCGTTGCTTGGGATTTGGGTTCCTTCTCCATCAATTGCTGTCGTGTTGCTGAAATACAGCATAACTAACATATTTTTTGTAAGCATCTTGATGTCCTTCTTTTCATATAATGCGCTGAACATGCATGGTTTTATTGTTACATGAGTTTATTTTAGCAACGAAATTGTGTATTTACAAAAACCCGAATTGTGCAAGTCTATTTCCTTCCTCTTATGTCAATGGTTCATGACAGGATGCATTAATAATACACTTTGAATTGTGTTTTCTGCATGATGCGACATTTGATGCACCTGCTTATCTGAACCTGCAGGCGGTTTAGGGTTTGAATATGATAACCCTGTGGCATTTCCTTTATATGGTATGTTTTCAAAGTAAATGGTATTTATTTTTTTCTTATGCAGGGCTGAAACAGGTTGTGTCGAGTCATGGCATTCAGTAAAGGTTATCGTATTTATCATAAGCTGGATCCACCTCCATACAGTGTGATTGTGGAGACCAGAAATCGAGAGGAATGCCTGATGTTCGAGTCTGGAGCCGTTGCTGTACTGTGTAAGGCTGTCCATATACCCTTTTTAGTACTTATTTTTTAATTAATTTTAAATATGAAAAATGTCAAACCAGTCATTTATTGAAATATTATTGAATAAAAAGCTATAAAACTGTTTTGGAGATTATAAATCATCAATAAATATGGCGTGGTTTTTTAAGTAAATGTTTTGATGTCATCCACAGCGGCGGCAGAGAAGGAGACCATCAAGACGGCGTACACCAAGATGCTGGATGCTTATGGGATCCTGGGAGTTCTTCGTCTTAACCTTGGTACAGTTTCTCAGCTTCTTTTTTTATTTATTTAATTTGACTTGCAGGTTGTGTATTTGTCATCACAACAAATACAAATCCTCCCTGTCACCTGATTTTAAAAAAAACTGCTCTTTTTGAGGATAAGTAGAGCAGAAATATTACCAAAACACTGAAATTCACAGTAAAACTAAAATTATGAAAGGTAAATGCACAACATGTTATCAAGCAGTTGTTGTACAAATATAGTCACTAATTACAGTGTAACTACAAGGATAGCCATTATTTGAGTTTGTGAGTGTATATAATATTTTCACTGTCATATTTTAAGTTCTTAGGAAACAGCATAGACATTGAGACTTATCCACCTCAATTTTTAAATAAGGGGCCGATACAAATGGGTTTTTCAATGAACTAATTATGAACTTGCACATTTTAAATATGTGGTTACAAAATGTGCATAATCTACAAGCTCTGAATCCACTTCACTCTTCTTCCAAAGGGGATTCTATGCTGCACAGCCTGGTGGTCGTAACGGGCTGCAGTTCAGTGGGAAAAGTCCAGGATTCAGAAGTCTTTCGCGTAACAGGCACTGACTTCGTCTCTCTGAAAAACGACCCCTCGGATGAGGACCGCATCGCTGATGTCAGGAAAGTCTTAAACTCTGGTAACTTCTATTTCGCATGGTCCTCCACCGGAGTGAGTCTGGACCTCAGCTTGAATGCGCACCGCAGAATCAGAGAAGACACATCTGATAATCGTTTTTTCTGGTGGGTCTTTTTCAAAGGTCAATTTGATTCAGTGTTAAAAGATTTTTCCATTAAATATAAATACCATTTTATTCAAAACATTCATTTTTAGTGGCCATATAGGGTTTGTTTTATGTGTGCACAGTGTTTCCAACAAAATGTCACTGACTCAGAATGTTGAATTTAATCGGTGGATGATAAATGGATGTAAGGGTGATGTAATTATGTAACCGCTTCACAGGAATCAGTCCCTCCATCTCCATCTCAAGCATTATGGGGTGAACTGTGATGACTGGCTGCTGAGGTTGATGTGTGGTGGAGTGGAGATCCGCACCATCTACGCTGGGCACAAGCAGGCCAAAGCTTGCGTGATCTCTCGGCTCAGCTCAGAGAGAGCAGGCACGCGTTTTAATGTCCGAGGCACAAATGACGACGGCCAGGTGGCCAACTTTGTGGAGACTGAGCAGGTATGACAACAATGAGTCAATTGCAAGTCAACCTTTTGAACTCACTTCTTTAACCCTCGGGTGGTCTTTAGTCATTTTAAACTGAAAACAATTTACATTTAGAATTTTTCTTTCTTTTTTTTATTTCACTGGAATGGTACGAAACATCATACTTTAGACTGACTTTTGTGGCACTTGCTATATGAACACAGAAAATGTGGATATGATAAGAGAAGGCTAAATGGTCTTAAAAATAATCACACAGAAAATAAATGAGAAAAAAATACAAATTTGCTTTATTTATCCAACTACATGGCACCAATCTGCCATTAATACCTTTGCTCTGTTTTCAACCTAAACAGTATATTAATTGAAAATAATATTTAAAAATGTTTTCTAATATTAGAAACAAATGGTACATAATTTAGAGGTGAATATTGTCTAGGACCATGAAATCCCCTCAAAATAGAAAATATTATTGAAATAAAATATTGTACATTCATTCCAGTTAGTCCTCTACGTGAGAAATACCATAGGGTTTAAATTTCACATGTGACATGCCAAGGCTAAGATTTAGCTTTTACTTGTTTTCCCTACAGGTTATTTTCCTTGATGACAAAGTATCCTCCTTCATTCAGATCCGAGGGTCAATACCTCTGTTCTGGGAGCAGCCAGGAATTCAGGTACAATAAAGCTTTGAATCAATATGTATGCATGTGTTCAAATAACACTGAGGAAAAATGTTTGCATTGCGCTCCACTGAATTGAGCTTGCTGG